CCTTCGACCGGGCGGCGGAGAGCGTCCCATTCTTGAATTCGCGATTCCAATCTCTTGTGCGCGCTGCGCGCATCCATCTGCTGGCTGCGGACCATTCCCGACGTCGTCACACAGGAGATTTCTTGTTGATTGAGGGAGAAGTGAGTGCGCGTGATTTGGAATTGAGAGCGATTAGAGTTTGCCGAGAGAGAAAGAAACGCGGACAGTGCGGAAGTAGAATGAGCGGGCGAGCGAACCCCAGGAACGCAATGACGAGACCGAGCAGATTGCGGATGGTGCCACTTCGCCTGCCGCAGAACGGGCTGCGCGCTTTCGAAGAGCGCTTAATAGCAAGAAAGCTCGATTTCTTGCTATGGGGATGGAATTACATCTGCGCGAATATGGTGCGCGAGTGGCTAGAGCCACAGGGACCACCCTCGCGCGGATTGCGTCCGCATGTTGACCGGTGGACAGTCCAAGATTGGGCGCAGGCGTTGGGAAGATGTGCTGGCATGCCAGGGCATCTCCTTTTCGACAGTGAGAGCATCAAGGTGACCAAGCAAGAAGAGGCGCAATTTGTGGAGCTGTTCAAGACCGGGAGGTCTACCAAGAATGGGTACAGGACCCGTGATTACAAAGATCGATTTCGCCGGACTTTGTCCGCGGCGCTGATGCAATTACTGCAGCCGCACCGCGCCTGCTACATCACATTGTGGCAGGTCTCTTTTGTGGAGTGCGTCATCGAGGGAACTCCAATTCACTGGGCGAGCATCCTGCACAGGGTGATGCGACAGCACGCGTTTGAGGAGAAGGGGGGAACTCTAAACCATCTTTCTCCTTTCCTCATCAATTTTTATCGACAGCGGAATTGTTTGACAGCGGCAGAGCTTGAACATTTTCCGCCATTGTCCATCGACCATCCCGGGAAGTATGTGCGGGAGAACGAGGTCGATACTGACGCAGAGGAGTCACCGACTTCTACCCCATCAAGACGGAGGGACGAAGGGCGACACACTCCTGCAGCGCGAGTGCCGCGGAAGCGGCGATGGAGGGAAGAGTCCGAAGAGGAGCAGCATCAAGAACCCTCTGCTCCCATTCGACCGCGGCCGCTGTGCGAGCCATACAGCCGGCCGAAGCAGAAGGCACGCAGACTGGTGTTACCAGCTGACAGTGCAGACACGGCGACGATTGCAACGGAGATAGGAAGTGCGTCGCCAGAGAGGCGAGAAGAAGCGCGGACGACCGCAGGAGCGACGGGCCACGCTGCAACCTCGTCGGGAGAGAGGCCGCCTACGGGCCAAGGGCCTCCGGAGTTACCACGTGCGATGCGGACAGATGTTCCGTTTGCGCACAGGCGAACCTCCGCGGACGGACGAGCCTCCGCGGACCGGCGAACACAAGTGGACGTGGATCTACGCTTACGCGTGGGAAGGAGCAGTCCGCCTGTGCACAGGTCACCTGTGCACAGAACACCTCCGCACGTGCCGCCTGTGCACAGGCAAGAATCACCCCCGTTCCAACGTAGGAAGGGGAAGGAGCCGGCGGAAGGACCGCCTACGAGACACCGGCCCTCGGGGCCAGACCCTCCGGCGCACCACGCGCCGCAATTCGCGCCTTCGGCGCCAGGGTCTTCGAGCCGAGGGGATACGAGCAGAGAGCGTGCGGAGGCCGCACCAGCGGCGGGAAGTACGCCGATAGATGCGCCTTCGGCGGTAGGGCCTATAGGCCAAGGAACATCGGGCGTGCGGCCCCCGGCCATGTCGCCTTCGGCGATAGATGTCCGCGGCGCTACGCCTGCGACGGACAAGGCGCCGGCAAATGCGCCTGCGCACGGGCCGGGCACAGCCCCCACGGACCGATCGAGGGAGCAGCAGACGGAGGAGCGGAGTGACTGTCCGCGGGACGACATCTCGATGCGCGATGCGCAATCCAACCCCGCGCAGCCACCCTCCGCTCAATCGCCTTCGGCGACGGACGACGGCGACAGAGAGAATGCGGGAGGCAATCAACAAGTAAGCGACGGGGATGCCGCGCGGGTACATTCGCCTTCCGCCTTAGACATTTTGGCGACGAGCAGCGAGGCTGCAGCCGTGCCTTCGCAGGCAGCGCACGTCGAGGACGTGCAGCCCCACTCGGGGCAATCGCCGACGCAATCAATGGCGACTGAAATTCTCCACTCAGATGATGACGACGGAGGCTCCACGGAAGAAATGTCAGGAGCAGAAGACACCGAGGAGGAGGAGGAGGAGATTGTTGGAGCGCCGGCGGCGGCGCTCTCTGAGCAGGTGATTCCGTTGCTGCGGTACTTGGATCGCAAGGTCGATAAATACGCCGACCCACTCCAGCCGGGATCTTACATCGAGTTAGTGCGCAGGCGGACTCGCACTAAAGTCCACACCAGCAAGCTATTAGCTAGAGTGGACCAGGAGTTGAGGGACTTGAAGGAGAAGCATGAGTGCTTGTGGGGACAGTACAAGCTTAATCAGAAATTCTACAAGCACTCCGAGAAGATGAAGGATGAGAAACTGGGCGAGCTCACCAAGGAGCAGGTGAAGGTCAAGGAAGCACTCAATTCTGAGCAGGCCCAGAATCGGATTTTGTCAGAGGAGCTCGTGCGACAGACGCGGTTGTTGGAACAATGTCAGCTCGCACGGCAGGCGGATGAAGAATTAATCCGCAGTTTGCAGTCAGAGTGTGGTGAATTGAGAGCGCAACGTGCTGAAGCCGAATCGCAATTAGTGACGATTGAAGAGGATCGCAGGAAGGAGGCGGATCGCACGAAGGTGGAGACGGCGAGGCGAGTCGCCCACTGTCTCAAGGGCTACGCCCACTGGGAAGTGAAGGCGCAGGAGAAACTCACACTGCGTGAGTTTGAATTGCGCGCAGCCGGGTTGTTGTTAGGCGACAGTAGGAGTCGGCGGAAGGTAGCGAAGAAGCTCGAGGCCTTTCTGTCGAAGGCACAGGATACCATGTCCGCCCTCGAGGGGGAGGTGTCCGCGGCGTTGCAGCGGTTGGGACTGCGTAGTCGAGCGGAAGAGTGGCAGGGTAGAGAGTTTGTGCGCGGCAGTCGGCCGCGCAGGAGACGTAGTACAGGTTCCGCGGAATGTAGTGTAGCGTGGTTCCGTGCAGGCGTGTAGCGTAGTGCAGTGTAGTGTTAGGTAGGACTTAGAAGGTATAAAATAGTTCCAGGCGTTTTGCCTGGGGTTCTTTCCCATCAGAAGTGCAGATCAGGAACCCATTTCCTTTGCGTGTTTGTGTCCTTGAGTTCTGTCACCACGCACGAGGAGTTACAACTTAGCGTTCCGCATTTTGTAGCTGAAGGCCTGCGGCCGAATGTTCAGAGCTAGTACATTGGTTAGAGACTTGAGTAGTTCGGATCTGCACCTGCGGGTGACTGCCGATGCTCAGAGCCAGTGACTGGTTAGATACTTGAACAGTTTCGCCCCTACACCTTCGAGTGTTTCTTTCTGATTGTACTCCTTGGGATTTTTCCCCTGAATGCCAAAGTGAAGTTTTGCTACTTCGTGTAAGCCTTGGTTGTAAATTCAGGTTACGCTGCAGCAGGTGCCTTGAGGGTAACCCCTGTAGTATTTCTGGGAATGACAAGTGCCTGAGAATTCAAACTCTTCAATAGACTGTTGTTGTGTTACTGGAATGTTTCACAGTGAGTCCTTCAGTGCGGACCTGTGTTCTCTGCGCGTTTTGTGAGTTGAGAGTGTTGTTCACCGCGTCTGAGTGACTTCGATCCGAAGTAGGCAGTCCAAACCGGGTTCCCTACACTAGCAGCAAGCTAGTGGAAGTGTTGTAAAAGCCGGAGTTGGAAGTCACTACCCGCAGCTTCGCCGAGTGTGCTCGCGAGAGACTTTCCCCCCTGAAATCTTGAGTAGAGGTCCTAACGGATCTCTGGGTTGTGTTTCTGTAGTTTCAGGTGTGTGTGTGTGTGTGTGTGTGTGTGTTACGCTGCACTGTGCGACCTACGAGTGCGCTCCGAGTGGACACTTGCAGTATTTCTGGGAGTGACAGTCGCCTGAGAATTCAAACTCCTCAATAGTCTGTTAAAACGTGACACTTTGTACCCTGTGTGTTCCTCTGTCCCTGTGGGTTCGACCTTTCTACCACTATATTGCAGTTTTAGCCTTTAGTGGGTTATTACATGGGGCAAGCTGCGAGCTTTAAATGCTTCTTTTACAAATATTTGAACCCAACATTTAGACTTCAGTATTGCTCAACAGACTGAGGATCCGACACTTGCTAGAAGATCAGTTCCCAAGAACAAGATGTTGAAGTCCAAAACCAGATCCGACTTTTCTAAGCTTAGATCAAATATAACCAGTTGGTTTCAGTGGAAGGAAATAATCCTCAAGAATGAAGAAACATTCTTTTTTTAAATTACGCAAATCCTTCCCAACTCCTGACTTAGTGATTAAAATTATGTCCTGCTCTAACCGAAGAGCACAATTAATTGAAGGCTTTATAAGACATAATCGTAGATTGACAGAGGAAATTAGACAACAAGCTTGAAAATATGTTAGGCTGCGCCGTGTTTTCGAATCATTTGCAGGGAGTTCCGAACAGTTCTCAGAACTAGAGGCCTTTCCCGCAAACGTAGTTTTACTTTGAGCTGGCGAGTTCCTGACGTTCGGCTATTTACATCTAGTAAAGCCTGCGAGTGTGTCAGCAAAAAGCTGGAGACATTTGCTTATGGGACCCACCAAAACCTCGGAGACTGAATACAGTACATATAAAATTTGTCGCATCGGAAGGTCCATCGTGTGGACGACCCCTGCCATTTGGAAAAAGTTCTGACCAAACAGACAGTCAGGGCGACAGTTCACTTATTTTATTACGATTATATTAAAAAAACAGGGCATCCGCTCCGAGTCTGGAAAATGTTGCAGGACTGAAATGATTAATCAGAAGACTATCGTTGACCTCAATGCAGACAGTATCCTGGTAACAGATGACGGAGACCAACTCATTCCAAATCAGCTATATAAAGACATTCGTTACTTCTGATATCTACATCTCATCTGTCTGCGGCGATCGAACAGGCGCATACATTTCTTTCGGTCCACTGTTGTACGTGCACCTCCGAAGGTATCGTTTCTAGAATCATACCCCGTCACATCACGAACGTGTACGTGAGCTTGAACAGTACGAGCTATCTTTCAATGTTACACATCTGGAATATAGATTCGTTAGTTCAGTTCTCACTAGATCGAAAAGCTTTTTCCATTTCTTTTGGCCCTCGGCTTTGAGCCGCTTTCGATGCTTTTTGTTCTTTATTGTATATATGTGTCTCCCCCTAACATCGTTGCATTATCCTTCATTGACCTTCATATTCTATAATTTATACTTACTTTCTATTTATGCTCGACTAATAAGTGAAAATTATGAGATATTGAGAAGTGTTTGCTAGTATTTGGTCACAAATCCAAAATATCAGGAACTTGCGAAACACAGATATTCGTGAGGTTAAACATGGATTCTCTCGTTGGGACTGCCACTGACATGTCATATAACGTGGATTGAGAATATGGACTTTCTCTGTACGTTTTGCAGAAACCTTTCACGACAATGGAGAAGAACGGTGCTTTCAGCAAGATGTACCTCATAGTGCCGATGGTCCTTCTCGGTCTGTCCAGCATGGTCGGCGCCGTCGACATCATCTTCTATCAGGACAGTGGAGCTTGTCGCGGGTCCGGATACTCGTTCAATGGCATCGCCAGACAAGTTTGCTGCGTCGCAAACGGAGGCTCGGTGCTGTTTACAGATATGGACGGCTGCAAGACCAGCCTCGTGTACAGGAACGGCGGTTGCAACAGCGGCCAAGTTGGCTCCGGCACGGGAAACAGATGCTACATCGGTGGAGGCTTCACATCCGGCTACTGGTACCAGAGCTGCAGACGCCGCTCGCTGCTCGGTGACGCTCCTTCGGACATGTCTAAGTGCGAGAGCCAAGCCAAGCCCACAGGTCTTGTGTTCACCGAGGACTCAGCCAAAGGCACGTGGATTCTCAAATCCTCAAATGCTGTTGAATTATCGTCTCAAATTGAGAGCATGACCGATGCAGAGAAAGTAAACTGGTTCCAAGCCAACGGCGCAAGCTTCCACAACATCGCTGTTACAGAGAACGTGAACTTAAACTGAAACTGAACACCAGAAATTGGACCGATGATGATGGTCGTGTTCAAGATGGTATTCCATAAGTAAGCTTACTGGTAGTCGTGGACCCGTCAACATCGAGAGAAGTTCAACGTGTTCTTACGTGACTTGGACAATGGTCGCACAATGTCCTGTGTGGAAATGACTTGAGGTTCTAGTTTTAAATGAATTTCCCATAGAAAGGTTGCATCTTGCTATTCGCTAGTGACTCGGGCTAAAATGCGCCTCATGTATAGGGTAACCAAGAGATTGCTTGCTGCGTGCAAAGCCCTGTAATGATGAGCGGTATTAATAAATGAGTTTCGTTAGTGTTTCAATGTATATGTATGACCGATGCGAAAAAGTTAATTGGTCTAAAGCCAACGGAGCAAGTTTTGAGAGCACTTACAGTTCGTAGTAACTCAGAGGTGAGTGCCCCGCAGAAATAGGGTGATCAAGGAAGTGCTGTGCTGCTTTGCTTGAAAAGTATATGTAATAAACGAGTGGTGTTAATGAATGAGATCATGGGTGTTTCAAAATACAAATTAAATATGATAAATCCAGTTTGTAACCATGCTTCTTCTGTGCAATGCTGCTTTGTATAAATGGGTGATTGCTGTGTAAAACATTACATCGATAGAAGTGAAGTCCGCAACGAGCTCTCTAATGTATGCTTTCCTCTCTCCCCACTCTCAGAGTCCTACACATTGCTTATAGCCCTTGTCGACGTGGGAGGTGTTTATGGACATGAATAGCTAACTAAGCAGCTTGCGGTCAACTGTCCAAGGAACAAAGAATGCTTCAATCTGGTCTCTCATATTGTACAGACAATCGTGTTCATACAAACTGTACTGATACAAAAACATTTATGAAAACTGTTATGAAATCTTTGCAGCGTATAATTTTTTTCTTTGCACTCGACTGGGTTTCCTATAATGCTTTGCTGTCACGAGAGCATTGTTTAGGATACAATCGTTTACACATTACATATTAAAATGCTGGAATACCCTCATACAACTATCCTTCCGAGAAAATAAATCTTAAAATACCACCAAAATTGCTGTCAACTTCGGTTAAGTTTCTCCGCACAGTTCAAGTAGGGTAGAAGAAGGCTAGGATTCTTATCAGTCGAGAACGAGGGGTTTCGTATCATGGGTGTGCTTGGATATATCTGCGCTTCATCACTCTATTTTCGCTTCAGGCCTTTATTTTGGCTACTGGAGAAGAATAAGTGGCTTTATATGAAGTCGCTTCGTCCGCATGGAAAATTTTACTTTCAGATCCAGCGATACGATACCTGTGTATCTCGCTAGCTTTGATTTGGCAGGTTACAAACAGCTCTGAAGTTGTCAAAGGTAGTCAACGTCAACGAGGCAGCAAATTAACAACTTGTCAATCACATGTTCGCCAATCTGATCATCTATTGAGAAGACTTTTGTAGATACATGTTACGATTATATCCATGCTACTATACAGCATTCTATCAGAATAGACTCGTCTAAATATCACCGAATTGGGTGCACTTAAATTGTCAGGAATTTCAGATTAGGACACTCTACATCTGACTTCAATAATTTGTTCTTGATAGGTGATAAATGGATGCAGCTTCATTCTTCATCCATATGATTCCTGAAACTGCTTAGAAAGCTATTCATCACTTGATCAGACCATATTTTATAATTTCCTTCATCGAATCTTAACATTCAAAGGTGCTATTTAGTACGGGTCCAGGAATAGGAGCAGCCTGAAACCAACAGTTATACAAAGAGGTGTCACTGGACTCCTAGCTTCCTCCAGCCTGAGATGCTTAACGTAATCTTGGTAGTGAAGAGTATCTTCCGTGTCCTCCTCTTTATTTAGTTCATGACTTCCTGTTATCAGACCAATTATCTTTTATGTTGTTTGCACTTTCGCTTTCGTTAGTATCTACTTGCTTTGTCCTGGCTACTTTCACAACAGCAAGCTTTAAGATTAAACTCATTCGGATTTTATTCTTTTCTAGGCAGGTCCTCTTCTATAATTCTAAATGATGGAATTCAATTTTGAAACATTGTTCGACGTCTACCATTAGTACTGGCATGGTATTGTTCATGTACGCCTCGATGAATCTTCCTATCCTGAATATTTTCCATTTTCGTATTTAATCATCTTTTGTTCTCCACTATCGAGTTTCGACGATTATAGACTGAGGTAAGAATGCTAACATGTGTAATCTATTCAAACTTGGCATTTTTTTTTTCCAATCATGCTACAAAACTTGTTAATGTATGAATAAGGGAACTTCCTCTGCAATTTCGTAGTATCTATAAAATAATTATGAATATACTTTTCACCTTTACTTAACCTAACTCTCATTATTTGTTCTTTTCGTTCACTTCTTACAAGTAGATAATGCCCAACGGACCATGTCAACCAATGATTCCCTCCTCCTTGGTCCTGTCGAAGAATTCTTGTTTATTCATATCATATTTTGGTTCAATCGTTTCAGCTGTGGTATAATTTAGCTAAGGTTTTGACTAACTCTACTAAGTTTGACCATGGTTAAATACAAAAGTTACCTATCGCTATATTAGAGAATCTGCGTAAGTTCTATGAGACTCAATTCAAGGTTTTAAACAATAACTCTTTGTTCCGTGGATGTAGAGTTGTTGAGCCAACCCATGTATTTCTTGTATCTACTTCTTGGGAATGCATATGTCTATGAACGTGAATCTTCATTTACATGTTATGGTAAATAGATTAGCCCGTGGTACCCAAAGGGTAAAAAGTATAAAAAACACAATACAAGTCAAATATTCATTGACCAGGGGAAAAGATCCAAAAGATTTACCCCTAACATAACTACAATGATCCTTTTTCTAGATCATTGTAGTCATGTGTCAGCCTAGAGTTTTAACACAACTAAACTACGGTGTGTTAGTTAAAGCTGAAATATAGGTGAACAACAGTGTAATACTTTCAACTAAGCGAGCACACTACCAAAGGTAAGACAAATAAAACTTGCATATATCTGAACGAAGGAGTAGCGTAGAAGAGTTTGACATAGATGTCAGGTTGTAAAAAAAATTTCTCAACGAATTCGTTGCTTAACAATCGGATGTGACGCAGGTTTGAAGGCGGCCACGAAAATAGAAAAGTCAATCTCTTAATTTAAGACTTAACGACTAGAATGACAACTTGATACGTCACAACTACTGTTTCCGATGAATTGAAATAAAGATAATAAGTGCGCAGGTATGGATAGCTAAAAAATTTTGAATTTTTTGATTGAAAAGTTGATTTTGATACATAGTTGCAACGAAATAGAATTCAACTTTAGTGACACGAAATAAATAAAGTGAGATTTCAGTCACATCACATGTCTGGTTGGTGTAGTTGGTCATCACGCTAGTCTCACACACTAGAGTCTTCAACTTCGTACACGCACTAAGCGTACACCCGTTTGATAAGATCTTCGTGATCGATGCGTGGATTATCTACTAAGACATGAAAATTTTCAATTATTTTAAAACAGGTTAAAATGCTAATAATGCGTAAACCGGTTTGATAAGATCTTCATGATCGATGCGTGGATTATCTACTAAGACATGAAATTTTTAAATTATTTTACAACAGGTTAAAATGCTAATAATACGACTACAACTGTTACTTTCATTCAAAAAAAAAATATAGTTCATTATGATTGTTGGAAATAAATTATATTCTAATCAATTACCGCAAAAAATTTAAAAATAAGGTGTTACAAATTTTGGGAAAATTGACTTAGAGTTGTAAAGTGAAGTTTTCAGAGTTGGATGCGAAATCAAGGTTACAATTTCTATGAAAATATTAGAAACAAATTAGTCAAATTCTTAATTCTTTAAAAAAATAAAATGAAAATATAGTTTTGATTTATTTGCAAGTTACATTTTATGGAGTAAAAAACATGAATAAATACACTATGAATTCAATAACAAAAGATGACAATCAATTTAATCAGAATCATCAGCTTGAAAAAGAACTATATTATGTTTTCAATTAAAATACAAACTAGATATATTAAAGCAAAAGTTCAACAAAAATATCTTCACAACAATAATGTATATAACATGTCAAAAAAAATCTACTTTCATTTTCCATACATTTTATTTTATACTAAATAACAGCGTTTAACACAACCAAAAAATATATCATATCAATTGAAAAATTATATAATGTAAATTCAACGATCAAAATTGATTCACTTTTAATATGAAACAATGATGCTTTTAAATTTAACTCAAAAGTTTTGATTTTGATCAAGCTTTGGTTCTTTAAAGTTGATATAAGATGAAATTGCAAGAGTGAATTTCTCAAGTGCCCAATCATATTTGATTGGGCACTTCAGATGATTAGATGGGTGGTTTAAGATATTTGATTAATTCATTTTATTCAACAAAAGTCTTACACCGCAAGCTTGATTAATAGCTTTATTTCAACTTGCTTACATTTAATTTAAGCAAAATTGGGCTCTTCAAAATGGATATTATGACAAAATTGCAAGATTGCATTTGAAAATTGATTTTGAAGAATGAATGATTATGGGAGTGTCACAAGAAAATAAATTTTTTTATTTCAACAAGTTTAAGATTAAAACATGAATTTCGTGTTGGATCATGAATTTTGATTCTATTGAACTAGTTTCGTAACGATTTTGAATATTAAGAATTGATATAAAATAAGAGATTATCACATAGTGTAAAAAAATATTTTATTATATAATTTTTCTTCGCATATTTTTTTACAAGAATCAAACTTTTATTTTGAAGTATGTTTGCGTAAAACATAGAATTGATTAGAGACGGTTGAAGTTTATATTGGAATCTTATACAGAAATCTGTGTATTATAGTTGAATTTATGAATGGTTGAATGCACATATTGAACTTTGACTTGAATCTTGTACACAAGGATGTAATTATTGCTTTGTAATACAAGGTCATGGTTAGATGTAAATCCTGTTTGAAACAACTTTAGTTCAAAAGAGACTTTTTGCATACAAAATTCAAAAAAATACTCACAAAAAGACATGTGAATATTGAAAGAATTTTTTGTAAAAGAATGAAAAAATTTATCTGAATGTCTTTTTGATATTTTTTATCATTTTTTTTGTCTTTTACATATTTTCTTAAATTCTTATGTATTTTATATACTCCAATTGTATTGCATTTTCATATCTTAAAAATATATCTCACTGGAACAAATTGTTTCATTCAAACCTCAAAATATGAATAGACATATGAATTCATCTGTTTCACATGTGTATGACAATAATGTACAATAATGAAAGCATGTCATGTACAATAAAACAATTAAATAATAACA